TGGCTCCTCGCCTCTGGAATAACCTTCCCCCTGACATTCGCGCTGCTCCCTCGCTGGGTATTTTAAAAAAACAATTAAAAACACTTATGTTCCGGCAGGCCTTCCCCACAGCCAATCCCTGACCTTCCCCATGTTTCCTTTGCCCTAGTCTCTGTTTCACTTCGTTCTTGCTCTTCCCTTAAAATTGTTTTAATTTTATTGTAATTGTTGATGTTGTAAGCCGCCTAGAGTGGTCCTATGTGATTCAGATAGGCGGGATATAAATTAATTAATTAAATAAATAATAATAAATCAGTTAAAATTTTTTGTTGCCTGATGGTGACATCAAGTGAAATGCATGATATAAAGTTGGACCAATAGGATTTCGGCCAGTATTTAAAGTGCCCCACTTAACTAGAAACAAAGCAACATTAAAAATCAAGTAAGCCATCAATGCAATAGGTTATTAGGTTTTTGGGGCTATGTGGCCATTCCTATATGTGAATAGATTAGGAGCAGACTTTGCATGAATTCTCTTTTGCTTCCTTCTGACACACAGAAGGTACTGTTTTAACTAGGGGTAGCCTGTGAGTTTTAGAGCACATGTTGTCCTCCAAAAAGCAATCTTGTAGCATTCAGATCTGACTGAAGGCATCTGAACAGACTCTAGTATTTTTCTTCTGTTTATAACTTTTACTGTGCTCCCCCACCCCCACATCTAGGACAGAATTCATCTCCCTCTCTTTTTCTCTTCCAAGCCCATCTGAAACAGTGACTTAGCTGTTATATTCATTAGCAAGTGTTTCTCAGACCCTCTTACCTTTTCAGAACTTTCTTGCTAGCGCTTAACCATTTATTTTCATTTAACCATGATGATAGCTAAAATGAACATTTCTACTTTCTTTCAATATACAGTACCATGAAAAACACATTGCTGTTAGAGCCCTTAAAAGCATTTCAAGTTTCTTGCTTAATTTCATATGGGCTGTCATTGACCAGTTTCTCTATGTATGGTTTCCCTCCTGAAGGCTTCACTTGCCCATTCAACTCCTATTCCCCACTGCCAGCTCTGTCTTTTCTAGGGAGCAGATTCCAGCCAGTTAAACCCAGCTCTTTACCAGTAAGCCGAAATACGTGATTTAGAGCCCAAAAGTTTGCACGTGTGTGCTCCTCTACATTTTCAAGTCTATAAGCTACAGCTTCCTTTGAGATTGGGGAAGTGGGGGAAATACCAATGTCAAGGCACTCTGTTCCTCACACAGTTAGTGTTGTTTGAGGGGAATAATACTGCTGTGCTATTTGTCCCTGCCCTTTCTATGTTACTGTTACCCAAGGTGATTGTCTTCCCAAAACCTGGAGAGCCTATATGCACGGAGCAAACTCACTCTTCAGACTCCCTTGGCACATGGATAGCAGGAGCCTGCAAGGGGATGCATGAATAGGATCAACAAGTACCTCTCTCCTGTAATCATAACGAATGCCTGAATAGAGAGAAAGTGTGGCGCTATGCTAAGCAAAGTTCAGCATGCTGTTTATTGTGTATGTGGCATTGAATTTCTTGGTGGGACAAGGACAGCTTGCCTTTATGTTGTGTCCAGAACTACTGCTCACTGCAATTCAGCCATGCTGATAATCTTTCTGTAGCATATTACAGAAATATATGTTCAGATAAACAGGTGTAAAATTGTGACTTGTGTGGTATCAATAGGAAAGGGTTTGCAAAGCCCATATTTTTTAACATTATTTTCACTTTTTGTTCTAGTTCCAGGTATAGATGGAGGTGCCCTGGCTGAAGCTAGTCTTACAGATTCCTACTTCAGCACAAGCTTCATTGGAGTTAATGGGTTTGGAAGTCCTGCCGAAACAAAGTATCCTATGATGCAGGTAATGCTCCATCTGGTAATCAGCTACGTTAAAGTACACTGAAGCTTAGAAATATTTCTACAACAAATCAGTTTCTTTTTAATACTTTCAATTAATTTTGAATCTCTCTGGGCCAATCTGTTTATTGCTTTACATAGGGCAGTAATACATATATTCTCAGTCATTGCAGTAGAGATAGCTTGATGGCAACTTTGACAAATCCAGGAGCCAGCATGTGGCTCACTTAAAACCTTACTACCACTCAGTTCCTCAAATTTGGCAGCAAATTAGAGAAAATAATTAAAACTAGCTGGAATTGTTTGTTTTTTTTACAAAGATTTTCTTGGTTTGTTGCTGAATTTCCCTTAAAACAAGTAGGAAATATTGTGTTGCTGTTGGCTTGCAGTGGTCTCATTGGTGGAGAAAAGGCTGAGGGCTGGAAAAAGTGGCCTGAGGACTTCCATCTGGGTGATGAGCAATGTGTCACTCAAGTTTTGCAGTAAGGACTTCTGATGATAAAGTTCAGCTGCAGCCTTTGGAATTGGGCACAAAATGTGAATTTCACACTGCCTCTTCATGTATTGTTTCTTTCTCATCTATTCTCTAAATATGCTTAGATTAGGATAACACATTTTCTATTTCCATGTCTCTTATTCTACATATAGGACAGTCAGGAAGAGCCCATGTTTGTTTGGAAACACACAGTGTAGCTCTTGCCTTCTGCTTGTATTCCAGAGGAGGGAGAAGGTTGCCCAGGGAGGGACCTCAAACTGACCATTTGCTTTTGATCTCTTTGTACACTGAAATTAGAAGAGTTGTGGGCTGTAAGTTAAAAGTATTGAAAACTTGTGCTTTTGTTTTGAAAGAGATGTGAAGCTTGGGAGTGCTTTTAGGTAGGGGAAGATGGATGCCACTTCAGTTAATGATTTATTTTAACTTCAAGAGGTTATGAGGAACAGGTTTTACAGCTTCCATTTCTGGTATCTTTTTAGGTTTTGACTTGATGTACTGTAGTTATCTCCCTCTCTCTTCTAATCAATTGCTGTTAATCACAAATGACGTTTAATGTAAATGTACTAATCTCTTCTGGAGTACTTCATAGTTCCTTCTTCACCAGCACTTACCAGATTCATTTAGATGTGGGTCAACGTTATCATTTAATGTATGTCTCTGTGTGTATATCCCAGCCCATACATGCTCTCTGTACTTGCAACAGTCAACATTGTGGTTTTTTACTAAAAACATAGAATCACAATTGAGTTGGGAGGGGCCTCTAAGGCTACCGAGTCCAACTCCCTGGTCAAGGTAGGAATCCAAATCAAAACGGATCTGACAGGTGGTTATACAATTTTTTTCTTGAATGCTTCCAGCGCTGGAGCACTCCCCATCTCCCAATGTAATTGATTCTGTTGTTGTACTGCTTTAACAGTTAAGAGGTTTTTCCTGATATTCAGACTAAATCTGGCTTCCTGTAGCTTTAGCCCACTGTTAGGTGTCCTGCATTCTGGAGTGATTGATGACAGATCCTTCCCCTCCTGTGTATGACTACCTTTCAAGTATGCTTTATAATTATATAGCCTGTATATTACATGCTATGTAATTATAAAGAGTGTCTTCTCTATGGTGGTACTTAAAAAGTGTGCTTGGTGCCTTATTTACATTTTTTTCAACACCAGGCTAAGACATCTATTTCTCCCAGAATTTTAATCTGTATATCCCCCAAGCTGCAAGAGTGACTGAAATTTCTCTTTTATGAGCTAGTATCCTATTGCTGGTCTCGAAGTAACAGATCTACTGAACTGACCAATGAATGGTTAGTCAACATTCATTGATATCCCACTGAGTCAACGGGACTGCTCTAGTTGAGATTAGTAATAGGCTACTGGGCATGATAGCTTCTAGGTACATTACATTTACTGTATGGTATGGTATCAAAAATTTTAAGTACTGTATCATTTATATTGTAAACTATACACGGCAATATACTGGCTTTTTAAAAGTGTTTGAAACAATTAATACATATTTAGTTATTGCTCGTCTTCAGTCAAAAGGTTACCTTACTCAAAAGGCTATCTTACTCAAGCTCTCATAAGTGCCCTTGTTCACCAAGATTGGCCCCATTTTCTGACCCCTGATGAATCATCATCTTTCATCTGACCTTATTTCTGCCTGGGAGAGTGCCTTAATATTTCGTGAGGTAGAATATGTGCACATTTTCCTTTGATTTGAGAATCAGCATATAACAGGTGTGCTATAAAATAAGATACCCAATTTTAGGTAATTTAAAAATTACCCTTCCACCAAAATGTGTTCCAGTATAGTATACATAAACCTAAAGTATTCAAAACTTCCAATAAAAAAGAACAAGTGATACCCATCATACTAGCAATAAAGACTGAGAGACAACAAACAATGACAAAATACTCAGTACAATAATGGGGCCTGGGGCTCAAGAGGCCAAACTTCTAGGAGCCTTCTGATTCACGGAGATGATGACATCACCTCCCACACTACAGTGGTGCCTCGCTTAACAAGCGCACCGCATAACGATGAAATCGCATAATGCGATGAAATCGCACCTGGGGCTCAAGAGGCCAAACTTCTAGGAGCCTTCTGATTCACAGAGATGATGACTCACCTCCCACGCTACTCAAATTTACTCTTTCCCGCTGAGCTTCATTGAAATCCACACAATTTTCAGGATGATTTTTTGAGGAAAAACATTGGTATGCATTAATTACGTTGCAATGTCAAGTATTTCTGAGCAGCTTGGTCCTGAACAGGCAATTAATGCTATTTAGTGTTAAAAAAGAGCTGATCCTTTGGTTTCTTTCTAATTTGGATCAATGTAACTGTCTGCAGTTTTAGACTCTCTGCTGAAAATGGCTGTGGGGATTGCCATGGTGAGGAACTACACTTTAAAACTTGCCACTACGCCACTGACAGTGTTAAAATTAGTAATGATACAGTCAATGAACATACATGGTGAAATAAAATGTATTGATCTGGGGCCAAAGACTTTGCAGTGTTGATTTTAATTTTAATTCTTCCAGCAGAGACATTACCAGAGAAATGGTATGTTTGGGGCATATAAATAATGTACTTCTCCCACTGAACCCTACTCAGAAAAAGGTTGTATCTGAAGCTCTTAATGAACGACACACTGTAATGGGAGAAAATACTTCTTGAAGAAAGTATTTGAAGAAGGTACTTGAAGAAAATGCCATCCATCAGAGGCAAGCATCCTTACTAACAGACAAGACTTGGTGTAATATGGCCCTACCTAGCTGGAGCTAAAAGAATCCTAGCAACCAAATTCTGCAGTAATTAAAGCTTTTGAATCATCTCCAAGGGAAATCCAAGATATAAAGTATTATAGTAATCCAACTAAAGTTACTGACCAACTTTAGCAAGGCTATCTCTGTTTAGGAGCAATGACAGCTGGTTACCTTTCCGAAAGTGTTAAAAAATACTCCTCATAGATCAGTTGGGGTTCAAATAACCATGACATCTAAAATTCTAAAGAGTTGTAGGTTTTTCAGGCTGTTTGGCCGTGTTCTGAAGGTTTTTGTTCCTGACGTTTCACCAGTCTCTGTGGCCGGCATCTTCATAGAACAGGAGTTAGAACTCTGTCTGTGTTCATAGTAGGTGTGCTCTTCTGCTTTGGAGTGTTTCCAGTCTCCGGGTCTGTCTGACCATTTCCTCCCTGTAGAGGTGTTCAATGTATTCTCAAAGGCTTTCCCAGCTGGGCCCCAATGGTTGTTTTAGGTTTTTTGGGCTGTTTGGCCGTGTTCTGGAGGTTTTTTCTTCCTAACTTTTTGCCAGTCTCTGTGGCTGGCATCTTCAGAAGACAGGAGTTAGAACTCTGCCTGTGTTCTAACTCCTGTCCTTTGAAGATACCGGCCACAGAGACTGGTGAAACGTTAGGAAGAAAAACTTCCAGAACACGGCAAACAACCCGAAAAACCTACAACCACCATTGGATCCCGGCCGTGAAAGCCTTCGAGAATACAAATTCTAAAGAGATTTTCTGGGTATTTTTTAACATTTATGCCATTCTCTTATCAAGCCTAACACTTAAAAGAAAAAAAGGAATGCAACGTAGTGGGAAAGTAAAGAAGTGGCAACTTCTTGATCACTGTAATAAGTAATGACAGTGGATTATTTTTCAAACATTGTAAAATGTAAGGAGAAGGATGTTTTGTAAAAGTAACTTTCCCATTACTGATCAATCGGATGTATTTTTTTAACCTGTAAGGTAACCTGCTGAAGACTAAAGACAAATTATACATTAAAGTAGCTTCCCAAACTGACAAGTGGGACAAGTGTCCTTGCTACACTTTAAAAATAATCTGCACCACAATCAGTTGAATTTTACATTATTTGAAAATTGTGCAGATTAACTGATTTCACAAATGGCTTATTTTTATAGCTGCACATAGATCTTTGCCCTTCCCCCAAGTCTCCCCTCCTACCACTAGAAATTCTAATGATTAAGAATTGTATCAGGCATTTGAAGATCTGTTACCTGAATGGAAAAGTACAGAAATTAGTTTTTTTCCTTTTTAAAAGAGAACCAAAATGGTGTGCCGGTGTAGAATTCCAGAATAAAGAGAGCTTGCACAAGACTTGTTGTTTTGAGGGGGAAGCAATCAGGACTTATATTTTGTAGTGCATCACTGGTCAGGCAGAATTGTCATACTACATTCTGAAAGTCCGTAAGAGACAATAGAGTTTCTGAGGTAACGATAATTCTTGTATTTTGCCCCTAAGACCTGAGTAGTAATCATTTGTTCATGCTTTATCACATTGAGTCTGAAATCTAAACAGGCCATTATGACCTATTTGGAGCTATAGCAACAGTGTGTTGCATCCTGGGTCAAAGAAATTCAGAAGGATGAACATGCAACTGAGTGATGTCGGTATGGAAGTTAAGAAAAGGGTTTGTTTGTTTTTTACTCTTTCTTTGAACAGTTTTGTTCTAGCTTATGTGAATACTACTAAGATTATGGAAAAGTTTTATACTTAAGATTCACAGTACCATATAGTTAAAATTTCTTCTTAAAGCCCAGATCTGCTTTCACTGACACCTTTGATCCTATACATCTCGCTATTTAACCCACTATGAAAGAGTTTGGCGTAAAAAAATGGCACACGTCCTTACCAGTATACTTGGCATCTTCTCATATCAGCTGTCCCAATTTCTTTTCCAGACTTGGCCCATATAATGGTTTCAGGAAATTGTAGGGTACATTTTCACCTACTAATTATAATGGGTTATTGAGTTTTTCATCTGAGGGTACTCTGTCATAATATCTAGAGAGCTCTTCATATGAACACAATCCCAGTATGTTTATACACTTTGTTATAGATTGGTGTTATATAATCTTTATTCCTCATTCCTGCTTGCAAATATTTAATTTAAGAGTAATGTTCTATTCAGGCTTCTTGATGTATCTTGGAGAGGTCAAATATAAATTGAAATTTTATTTTATTTTTCTATTTAAAATAAATATGCAGCAAAATGCAGCAAATGGAGTACTGAAAAATGGTAGAAAATGCAAAGTTTCAGTTCAATCTTGTTCTTATTTACTTTTATTTAATTTTTTAAAAAAATCTTCGATAATGATTTTTTTTTCTTGTAACTGTACAGTTTTTACATCCCTTAAGGAGCCCCAGAGATGTAGAAGAATTTCACTAATTATTGGAATATGAGTGGGGTTGTGAACATCTGTTAGAAGAAGAGTGCTATTAAGCTAGATCAGAAAGAGAAGAGGAACCCATTAACATTTGTGGAGAATGCTTTTTTGGTGTTAGAAGCCCAGTGCAGCATGCTGGATAGAATGAAAGACTAGGATTTAGGAGGGTTGGATGCCCAGTGCGGCATGCTGGATAGAATGAAAGACTAGGATTCAGGAGGGTTGGATGCCCAGTGCAGCGTGCTGGATAGAATGAAAGACTAGGATTCAGGAGGGTTGGATGCCCAGTGCGGCGTGCTGGATAGAATGAAAGACTAGGATTCAGGAGGGTTGGATGCCCTGTGTGGCATGCTGGATAGGATGAAAGACTAGGATTCAGGAGGGTTGGATGCCCAGTGCGGCGTGCTGGATAGAATGAAAGACTAGGATTCAGGAGGGTTGGATGTCCAGTGTGGCATGCTGGATAGAATGAAAGACTAGGATTCAGGAGGCCTGGGTTCAAATCCCAGCTCAATCATGAAAGCTCACTGGAGGTGTGAAACTGGCAAATCCACTCCTTACATAAAACGCTTGTCTTGAAAGCCCTGTTAGGCTTTATGCCCTACTGGCACATTTCCCCCTATGTCTACTAGAGGGTAAAAGGGTTTTATGGTTGAAGCTAGAGATGGGTATGAAATACTTTGAACCTTTTTTTCATAAGTTGTCTGCGTAGCAGCACAGCTGCCACATGTTCCTTTTCCCTACTCCCCCCCCCCCACTGGCACCTTCACTCACCAGCCAGCACACAATGCTCCATCCCTCCCCATCACACAATCTTCCAGTCTGGGTAGGAGCCTGGACTTTTCTGCCCGCCCCAGCGGCTGGCCATTCACATAAGGAAGCGGGGCAGGAATACCTGCAGCGCTGTGTTTGAGTGATCTTTTATATTGGAGAGGGGAAAGCTAGGCATACTAGAGGTACGGTATGGGTAGAGGAGAAAAGACTTTTAATGTCCAAAGCCCTGACAGCTCTTTACACGAGAAAAGATTTCAGACCAACCCTAGAAGCCGGTCTAAATTATTCCTCCCTCCCCCATTGTTTGCATTGTGGGGCTAGGAGGGTTGGGTGAGTAGGGCAGGGAGAGAGATTGGTCAATGATACTCTTCATTCACTTCTGCCTTTCCAGCAGGAGCCTGCCAATGCTTTGCCAATGCATTGCAATCTACAGTTACGATTTTCCTGTAAATGCTTCAGCCCAATGTTTCAGCCTTTTGTTTGTGTTGTCAATTGCTATGTCCTTGAAAATGTAGATGATTAATATCACTTTGTAACAAGTATTTATCAATCCATTTTCAGTTTATAGCACATGGAATAATACCAGTGATCCCTTTGGCATTGTTGATCATGCAATTTGTTTCCCACTTTCTGCAGCGGATGACAAATAGCAGCAGTTCCCCTAGCCTTCTCAATGACAGTGCCAAGCCGTATGCAGGCCATGGTAAGAAGTTTTCAAAATTTAAGTTAATGTATGGGAACCCTTCTTGCCTTAACATTAAATCATTAATCTGTTTACACTTTGCTCAAATCCTGACTTTACTTGCATTTACATTTACAAAATTTATATCCATCACTGAAAATGCTTTCACTTACGTTTTAAAAGGTGTTCATATGGAGCCTTTCTGTTTTCATTTTGCTTCCATTCTGTGGGCTAGTTTGCAAGGTCTAGAATATTAAGGAAATGAAAGACTAAGGTTGTTAAGAAAAGTCTAGAATTCAGGTGCAGCTGATGGCACAGGTATGCCTTGGGTATATGTAGAAGCACAAACAGAGGTAGTTGTGAAGATGGTATGCTTATTTTCAATTTAATATTTGTAAGGTTAAAAAATAGATGTAGAACTAAGATATTTTTTCTTAGCAGTTATCTGGTTCGGTCTAAAAATGGAAACGACTTCCCTCCTTGCCTTTTGAAATTTTCATTTGAATATTTTTGGAGGAAGGCTATGTAAATGGCATGGATGATCCATATAATCCACTTAAACTTTCAAATACAGTATCAGATATACAAATGTACATATTATAGCTTTAGTCAGCTCCCTCTGAAGACATCTTAAGCCTTTGTTCCAGGATAAATGTATCTGTAGTAACACTAAATTAAACTGAATTTATAAGTTAATTTCATTAGCTTCTTGCTGCTGTCCATGACAGAAATTTTTGTTGCATCTCTGCACATGCATGATAATCAGTTGAGAAAGAAATTGCAAATGAACAAGTAAGTAAGTATCTGTATTTATAATGTACACTAAAGATTATAGAAAATATCGTACAGAAGTCACTGGTGTTTAGGAAACATGATGTAATGTATCTGTAGTAACACTAAATTAAACTGAATTTATAAGTTAATTTCATTAGCTTCTTGCTGCTGTCCATGACAGAAATTTTTTGTTGCATCTCTGCACATGTATGATAATCAGTTGAGAAAGAAGTTGCAAATGAACAAATAAGTAAGTATCTGTATTTATAATGTACGCTAAAGACTATAGAAAATATCGTACAGAAGTCACTGGTGTTTAGGAAACATGATGAATATCTCCACACAGGTGGAAATAATGAGGGTCCAGCCCCATGGGGCCAGACTGTCCACTCATAATTTCGCTACTGCCGCCGGCTCCACTGTGCCTTCCTATCGCACCATTGTCTTCACTTGATTATCCAGTCCTGGAAGGAGGCAGGATGACAAGCCTCTCTGCTAGGTCAGAAGTGGCTAATACATTGCAGAGAACAGCACGATAGGAAGCTGCCACAGAGGCGGTGGCAGTGGCAAAATTGTGAGTGGACAGTCGTTATTTCCACCTGTGTGGGAATATTCGTATACAAATGCCCCCATCTCTAAACATGACCCTAAAAGCACAATTGCCAGAATCCTATTGCTATTGCACAGGGTTTGCACACATTGCTGTGGCTAATTATGGTTAATAGATGAGGTCTCAGGATACATGTCTATTAAGAGCCTGGTCACATGCCAAATTGTGCAACTGAGATGTGCCTCAGCAAGTCATCAGTTAGCTGTAGTTAGTTATGCAAATACCCTGTACAATTCCAATCATCTGCCTTGATCCAAATAAAGCAATGCTAAGTTAACCTCATACAGTGGTGCCCCGCACAGCGAGGTTAAACCGTTCCGGATTAACCTTCGCTGTGGGAAACATCGCACCACGGAACGGAAAAAGGCATTGGAACACATTAAACAGTGTTTAATGCGTTCCAATGCCAAAGAATACTCACTGCTGTGCGAAGTTTCCCAGGGGCCGGCAGCCATTTTCGCGCCCTCCCCTCGCA